GCACGTGCACGTGTGTGCGTAGGTTTGTATGTGTGTGTGTTTAGGGGTGTGTGTCTATATCGTACATGTGTGTTTAGGTATGTGTGTGTGTTGCATGTGTGTATGTTTAGGTGTGTGTGTATGGTATGTGTGTATATTGTATGTGTGTGTAGGTGTGTGTGTATTGCATGTGTATGTTTAGGTGTGTGTGTATTGTATGTGTGTTTATATTGTATGTGTGTGTTGTGTGTTGTGTGTGTTTAGGTATGTGTATTGTATGTTTGTGTGCGTGTTATATGTGTGTGTATTGTATGTGTGTGTCTATTGCATGTATATGTGTTTAGATGTGTGTGTATTGTGTGTGTGTGTATTGTATGTGTATGTGTGTTGCATGTGTGTGTGTTTAGGTGTGTGTGTGTGGATTTGTGCCTATGTACGTGTATGTAAGTATGTGCCTGTGTATGTTGCACAGGTTCACGTGTATGGGTGTATGTGGGGGGTGTCAGGGGTGGGCGCTCGGGGGATGAATGCGTTCCTAAGAGGTGAGTCCGGGACCTTTAACTTTCGCTTCTCCCAGGGGTGGGTGCATGAGACAGGAAGAGAGCTTCCCTTCTCAGGCCTCCAGAGCTGTTCTTTGCCTCCCTCTTCTCTATCCCCACAGAGCAGCAGGCTGAGGGGGAGGCTGTCACATCATGGTCAGCAGGGCCCAAGAGGGGTGCCTGGGTCCTGGGCCTCCTTGCCCAGGCCAGAGATGCTGGTGGAGGCAGGTTTCTGCAGGGTCCCTCGTGGCTGCTGGCCTGTGTGGGTGAAGCCATCCGCACAGCCCTCTGAGCAGGGAATGGAGGGGCCCACTGCCTTTTAAGCCCAGACCTGGGGACAACAAGTCTGAAGGTGGCAGAGCCCACACTTCTACAGGCAGGAATCCTGGGTGCCACCAAGGAAAGTCTCACTAACCTCTCTCTTGGTTTCTAGGAACCAGGCCATTTAGGGAGCCCTCTGTGGCCATCTCTGCCTGGACCAGGGTGAAAATGCCTCTTCCTGGTTTAGCGAGACCAGCCTCAGCTGACTCACAGAGGTGCAGAGCCAGGCTGGGTCCTAGCAGCTCTCTAGCATTTCCGGATCCGCACAGGGCACGCATTAGGTAGGAAGTCTGTGCACACTGGACAACCTTGACTACTCCAGCCGGTGGGGCAGCTCCCTGCTGACACCTTTTCCCCGGCAGTCCTGAGAGCTAACAAACATTTATGGAGCACTTACGTATGCCAGACGCTTGTCTAAGCGCTTGACATGGACTAATGCATTTAATCCTCCCGAGAAGCCTATCAGATGGACACCACGACTGTGCTTATTTCATAGACGAGAAACTGAGGCATAGAGAGGTTACGTAGCTTGCCTAAGGTCACATGGCCACAAAGTGGCAAAGTGGGGGTTACCGAGCCTTGACAGCTGCCTCTTAGCGCTTCTGCAGCGTCACCCTAAAGTGCCCTGCTTGGTGGGAGGGTGGAGTTGGGGGGCGCAGAGGCTCTGGATGTTCTGCTTTAGGGAACATCCAGCTTCCATGGGGTTCCAGTGAATCCCAGAAAGGTTTTGCAAGCAGCAGTCCAGGGGGCAGAGTGATTGGGCACTCAGCTCCGGTGGCAGGAGGGGAGCAGATCATGTCCACTTCTGAGGAGAGCCCGTAGCTGCCACCATCTCCCATCGCCTTGCACAGGCTCCTGAATGCTCCTGTCTAGGGGCTGTCCCCGACACAGGTGCTTTCTTTGCCAGGAAGAGCCCCTGCCAAGCCCCCTGCCTGCTTTCCTGTCTGGGAAACTGGCTGAGCAGCTGAGAAGGCCCTTGGCCCCCTCCTCGCCCTGCCTTCCCGGTCCTCCTGCCTTGCATCCTGCTCTGCTCCTCTAAGCCACCTCTTCCCCAAGGCCTGCGAGTTCACAGGAGTCTCACAGGATGCCTTTAGAGCTCTCTCCTTGCCTCCCACCCATAGAAATCCTGGGACTCCTCCTCTTACCTTAAAAACGGTAGAAAGCTTGAGCTCTCCAGCTCAGTGATTTCTAAGGGAGCTCCACGCCACCTTCTTCATTTCTTCATTATCTGCCCTAGAAGGCCCTTAAGTCATGTCTCATAATCTGGACCTGTTACAATTGTTTTCATTTTAGCCCTAAGCCCAACATTTAATATGCATGAAGGAGAAATGCAGTGTGGGCTTGTGTCCAGACTCTTTTTGGCCTGTTAATATTTTCTGAAATCCTGATGCTGATATCCTTTCTTCCTCCTTGTATTCGTGATACATTTATCCTACTTGATCCATTAGCGGCCTCACTGGGGGAGCACAGGATCTCACTGGAAGGAAATGCCACCCCCACAAACTGTCCAGACCATGCGGATTTCATGGAGTCGGAAGTCACATCAGAGCTGCTTAAGGCTCCCTGGAAAGGGGTGGTGGATCAGGAAGGCGGATGAAGGGGACAGAGGGAGCAAAAGGCCCGGGCAGCACGTGGCTTCAGAGTCCATCATTTCCCATGGACCCTGACATAAGCAAGGCAGCGCAGCCGAGCCCTGTGCCCAGAGAGGCTCCAGAGAATATCTGTTAGTGTCTGCATAAATGGGATTCTCAGATTCACATGTGGGATATGCTGAATTAAGGCAAAAGGAGACAGACTTCTTGTAGGACTCTGCAGAACTTGGGAGATCTCTAAGAACAGGGTGGAGGGCTTTCCCAAGTGGATGAGATCCCAGAGCTCCTGGGGGAATGCCTGCTTGGAATGCTGATTACATGGGAAGATGTTGGCACTTTGGGAGGCCAAGATGGGAGAATCACTTGAGGTCAGGAGTTCAAGAACAGCCTGGGCAACATAGCGAGACCCTGTCTCTACAAAAAATGTAAAGTTACCCAAGCTTGGCGGCACACACCTGTAGTCCCATCTACTCAGGAGGCTAAAGCTGAAGGATCGCTTGAGCTCAGGAGTTCAAGGTTGCAGTGAGCAGTGATGATGCCACTGTACTCCAGCCTAGGCAGCAGAGCAAGACCCCATCGCCAAAGTAACCATAGTAATAATAATGAGAAGATAGATGTCGGGCCAAGTCAGTGTTGGTGGGTGGTCCAGGCCCCGCCGCAAACCGCATGAGCGTCCTTGGGCAAATCAAGCCCTCCCTAAGCCTCAGTTTCCCTACAAAATGAATCTCTTACTCCAGGCCTAGCTTCTTCAGGTGACCACTGAGAGAAGGGACAGGGAAATCTCTGTGACTGAGAGTGCTTTGCACAAAGCATGATGCACTGTGGGAGGAATTGTGGGTTTGCCTCTTGCATTCCTGGAAGAAGCCACAGAGGCCGGGCTTGACCAACTGGAGTGAGTGCGCTTGGGCTGCTTCGCAGGTGTTTTGAGTGACTTCTGCTTCAGGAGAGAAGGGAACAGTTCATTCATAGACTGAGCTCAGTGTGTGGTCTCTGAGTAGGCCTGATCATTCTTCCCATGAACTGCTAATGATCCCCTCACAGACTTGCCTCACCTGAACTAACTAAGTCAGGGCTTTATCCTGGAGACATTAACCTGGTCCCCAGGCACCAGCCCTCCTGACCGTGGCTCTGGGGAGGCTCTGGGAACATTTGAAAAGGCAGAAGCAATCAACTCCTGGGCCTATGACAATGACCATAAATCTCCAGCCTAGACAGCTCCCAGCAAGGGCCAATCCAGGCTCAGCCCTGGCACCCCTGGGGACCCTGGAGGAGGCTGGGCTACAGCCCCATGGGAATGAGACAGCAGAATTGTGGCACGGAATTGGGCGACGGAGAGCATGTGGCTTAGACCAGGAGGAAACACTCAGGCTGGGGGCCAGTGCCCTCCTAAACAACTCAAGGGAGGGAGGAAGTGAGACTTAAGCCAAGCCCAAAAGTACGCCATGATTTCAGAACCCCGGAAAGTGAGCAAGAGCCTTCTCAGAGCCTGCCTCCCAGCCTTCCTGATCCCTTTTATGCATAGGAGAAAACGACTTTTGGGGTTAAGGGGCCTCTGGAATGAGCTTCAAATGGCTCAATTTGAAGTGTTCAAGAACCGCTGGTGGTTCTCAGTTTAGTGTAGACATTCACCACCATTGCCCTTCCTGTCACTGTCATTGCACCCCTTCATCATTACCACTATCACCATCACCACAACCACTGCCATCTTCACCATCACCAATACCACCTCCACCATCATAACCACTGTCACTTCCACCAATATGACCTTCACTACCATCATGACCTCCGTCACCCCCTCCACAGTCAGCGCAGCCATCAACTTTACCCTAACCATCACTATCATTGCCACCTCCATCATTACTGCTATCACCACCACCATATCCCACCACCCATACCACCTCCACCACCATCTAAGAATGATCACTGTCACCACTGCCATTATGACCTTCACCACCATCATTACCATCATCGCCTCCATCACCAATATCACCGTCACCACCACCATTACCCTCCCCATCACTGTCATCACCACCATTATCAGCATCATCACCGCTGCCACCACGACCATTACCACCAGCATCACCACTAGCACCATCTGCTTCATCACACTTTGTATTTGCCTTTGCCCACACTGAGGAAGATTGCAAATCTCACCCACTAGCACTGCTCTTCTGTTAACTCTCTATACCCTGGAATATTCATCTCTGTCTGCCTGCTCATGATCAAAGAGATCAGTCAAAGCCTGACCGTGCTAGACTGAATGTACTTCTTGTTTATCCAGACTCATACCTGTTGTCCCTGCTTCTTCATTAACAGCTGCCCTCTTTCCCTCTCACTGTGCCCCGGTTTTCATGACACCTGAGTTAAGACCATGTCCAGCTTCTGATTAACCCCACAAGGACCAGCAGCCCAAGGATGCTAATCAAGAACAGAGTCGTGGGCTTCCTTCTGACTCTCTCACGGAGCAGGGATGCTAGCTGGAGGTTACACCCACCATCACTGATAACTAATGGTGTCCCTACCTCCCCTTCCCTTGCCTTCCCTGCCGCCCCGCCTCCCCAACTTCCAGGAAACCACTGAGAAAAGACGAAAATGGCACCAGCATTGCTGAGTATCCCATGAGCTCTTCCCAGAGCAACAAAGGAGTGGACGTGAACAACACAGTAGTGTGAGTCTGCAGGTCCTGGACCCGCTGGCCAGAGGGACACCTTGGTGGCGCTAGTGGACATAGGAAAGCAGGTGGACATGAGCTAACCTGAGCTTCTCCAGGACTTCATTGCCTCACAGGCCCCGAGCCTCCCAAAGGAGAAACCATTCTCTTCCCAGGCTTGCCACCGGTCAGCCTGTGGGCCCAAGCAGCTCGGACGCCAGGCCAAGCCTGGCTCACACTGCGCACAGCACCTGGGCCGTGTCCCCACCGCAGGCCCTCCACCTCCTCCTCCCTGTCTGGTGTCTGGTCTGTTGACTGTCCCCAGCTGCTGTCTACAGCATGCGCACCGGTGAAGCCCGGGGATCTGTGTTTCTGCTGCGGCAGGGAGGCATCCCCCCTTTAGCCAAAAGAAAGATGGTCTGGGGCCCACTCCCTGCCGGAAACCTCTCCTCCTCCTAGGAAGCCTGCCTGCCCCTCTGTCCACATTCTCAACAGAAGCCATCGGCACAGCCGGGAGACAGGCGTCCCCTTTCAAAGGTGCTTCCCACACATCTGTTCGTCGCCCCTTCTGCAATTGTCAATCTTCAGGGCCTGCCTTCTCCCTCCTGTCCCCACTGACACCCCACACCCTCGGCTCCTGACTGCCTGCCATGGAAGGCTGTGAGCCCAGCCTGCAAAATCCCCTCCTGAGCAGACAGAGGAGCTCGTTTACACTCGGGGGCAGTGTCTGGCCTTCCGGGGGCAAAACAACCCTAGGTCCAGGGCCACTGGGCAAGGGCAGAGGCCACTGCACCTGTCCTCACTCATCCCCACACTTCCTCCCCATAGGAACCCATGCATCGATGTGAGCCAGGCCCTGCCTTAGTCGGCAGAGGCCACTACTTGTGCCAAATCCACTGTGGGCTTGCTGTGCCACACTGATGCTGGCTAGGCACTGGATGTCCCCACAGTCCTCCGAGGCCTGACTGTTGTGCTCAGGCTCTCTGCCAGAGTCCTCCATCCTCGTCCCATTTTACCCTCCCCCAGCCCCAGTCACCAAGAAGATGTTCCAATGTCTTCCTGTCAGTGTCTGTTTCCAGTGCTATAGGAGCGCTGAGCCCTCCGGTGTGGTTGGAGCACCCAGGGATGAAATGGGACGGGAGGTGAGGGACCCTCCAGGCTGGTAACCCCTGTCCAGTTGGCCTGTCTCCCAAGTGACTGCCTTCCCTGTGGGCCCCGTCAGGAAGCCCACGGAGACAGGGTGATTTTGCATCTTCTGGCAAATGAGTGGGACACTCCTGGCCCTGTGGTTTTCCCCACCGCCCCTGCATATGTGCTCGGAAGGAACCCAGCGCACTGAATGGTTCCACTGCCAGGCCCTGTAGGACCTGGTCTGCACCCTGACCTGCCAGTGTACTCTGGTAGGTGTTTAAGCTACAGATGAGACTTTGAAGTCCAGAGAAGACAGACACACATGAAAACCGGCTCTCATTTGGGCCAAACCTTAAAAAGTCCATTGTCCCAGAGTCCTAGTGCCCACAGACCTGTCTGTGTGTCATCGTCCTGCCTGGGTCAGCAGGTGCAGGCTGAGCACAGGCCCAGGGCAGACCCTCACATAAAGAGTTTTTCTTCCATCCTCATGTCCTTCTATTTGAGGACTTGTTTTGGGTTTGGATTTGCTGTTCCTGGACACCTGGGCATCAGCATAGTGCCACCCTCTACCCCCTGCCTGGCCAATACTTCACAGTGCTCTTGGGGTACAGAGCCAAGTGACAAACAGGCCAGAGGATGTGGGCCAGCAGCAGGTCAAAGGGGGCAACTTGGCAGACCCCACCCAGGGCATTCTCCCCCACTGCCTGCAGCCTCCTGGTGCCCGCCGAACCCCCCAAGCTGTGCCCTAAGCAGACACCTGGGCAGGACCCTAGCCCTAAGCACACACCACCCTGTGCTGCACCCATGAGAAAGTGCCCATGCCTTGGGCTGCTCAGAAGCTCAGGAGTGATCAGAGGGCACCTTCTGCTAGAAGGGAGGTTCCTGGCCAAGGGATCATGGAGTGCTGGGCAGCCTGCAGGGGCTGGGCACAGCCCAGCTTTGCACACACTCGCCTGGCCCCACCATCCCCAACCTTGGCTTAAACCTTAGAGGCCTGGATTTTGCAGTTAGCCTAATCTTCCAGCCCCTGGCCAGGCTCCCTGGTGAGGAATCAGCTGAGCCATGACACGTTTTGGGGCCTGTATCCTCTTCCCTGAGCCTCGGACGCACCCAGGGCTCTGGTTTGCCCATAAATTCCCTCTCCGTTGAGCTTGTAAAATCCCTTCTCACCCCAGTTAGCAAACACCAAGGGAAGAGCCTAGTTTTTTTGAAAAGATTCACTTAATACCCACCCCCACCCCCCTACCAAGCCCAAGACCAGCCATTCAAAACGTTAAGTCTCATGGCACAGCGAGGGAGACCCAACAGATTTTGAGCTTACAAGACTTAAGCATACTTAAAACCATGCCGGCCCAGTATTTGAGCTTAGAACTTGTATTTAAAATGAGTCTATGGTTTCTAGACACATACTGATTCTCAGGCTAGTCCCAGCGCTGAGGTCAAGAACGAGATGCCCTTCCCTTCTCATTTTCTCAAGTAGATGTTTCCCAGCAGTCTCGCAGTTGAGCCCAACGTCGGAACTCAGATCACAGGGTCTCCCAGAGGTTTCAGGTGTTCCTAAGCAGCTTCTCAAGGAAGTTTTGGAAGAAGGACTAATAGGTGTAAAAATATAAACATATTATATATAGCTATATATATTTAAAGAGATCTCTACATATATATATATATATATAAACTACAGTACTCTGCATCTGTACAAAGTATGAGTTAAATGCCCAGGTAGTGTGAGATATGTAATGCATGAATGTGAATATCCTGAAATCTGCCTTCTTAGCAATGAGCCGCGTGTACGAGGAGGACTGTTGCTCCTGGGAGTTCTCTCAATGGGCAGATGTCCAAGGTGATGCAGTCTCATCCACCAATGAGCCATTAAGGTTGGTTTCCTGCTGAGACTTTTGTACCAGAAGCAAGACTGACAGCCCTGGGGGGTGTCCATATGCCACTGATGAGGAAGAAAGTGCCATGACTTTTTTATTTTCAATAAAACATAGAGATGTCTGTTAGTTGTCGTTTCTGGGGTGCGAGGAAGAAGGTGGGCCTGAGGAATGGGGGGATCCTTCACGAGGGTCCTGCCATACCCCAAGGCTGGGCTGGGGACCTTGCGTGGGGTGTTTCTGTATGTGTTATCCCAACAACCCAAGGTCGGTACTTATGGGGACTTCAAAGGCCAATGCTGTCCCTCATCCTGCCACCCACTGCCTTGACCATTGACCTAACTGAGAATAGAGCGACCAGCCTTCCCAGTGTGCCTGGGACTGAGAGATTTTCCTGAACCCAGGACTTTCAGGGCTAAACCCAGGAACATCTGGGGAAAATGGAACAAGACAGTCACCTTAAGTGGACAATGCTCACAGGGAGCAGGAATCAGCCAGCCAGACCAGCAGGGTGATGGTGGCTGGAGTCAGCCTACTGTATGTCCACCCCATGTGAAGACCTCAGCACCCACGCACTTCTCTGCAGAACCCCCTTACCTGGCCAGGCGCATGGAGAATTGGAGGCCTGCCGTGCACCCCACACAGAGGGGCCCAAAAGGCACAGGGACCCCCAGGTTCACCCTCCCCCACCCCCACTCCCTTGGTTTTTCTCAAGCAAGCCTCACGGGAAGCAGCGGGGGGAAGAGCTTCCCGTCTGACGGGCAGGGAGAGGTGTATGAAGAGAGGAAAGTTTCCCCTGCAGCATCCTCATCCTCATCTTTGCAGTGAGGAGACAGGTCAGAGACAGAGCACCATGGCCAAGGTCAAGCACATACCAGGAAACAGGGATGTGGCTGGGGGTTGAACTCAGCCTGGTGCCTCCAAGGCACAGCCACCAGGCACAAGTGAGGGGCCCCAATCCCGACTCTCTCCACTATTGGGGTGCTGCTGGGCCCCACCACCCCTGCCTGGGTTCCCTGGGGCTTCAGCGTTAGCTCAGTGAGGGACAACTAAGAGCCTGGTATGCCCAGAGCTGGTGGGCAGGTATATCCCCCAACCCAACCCACAGCCAAGGGGGCAGCAGCTCAGTGCAGGAACTCGGTGAAGGGCCTGTGTCCCAAGTCTCAGGGACGTGGAGGGAATGCGGAAGTTATTAAAGGCTCTCCTATAATAAACGCCCTTGCACTTGGGATTCTGCGAGCTGCCGTTTGCCTGCATACAGTAGACACATAGTAGAAGATGGCCGTCGTTACAATAACCATCACTGTTGTCCTTAACGAAGCAGCCTGTGTGATAGTGAGGGTTCCTCTGTCCACCGGCCCCCTCCTGAGGCTACCTGGAAGCTGATGAGGGTTCCATGGGGCACCTCAGGCCTCACACCCAGTCCTGTGCACCCCGGCCCAGGCATCCTCAGCAGCAAGCCCGGAGGCCAGCGGAGGATGCAGCAGGGACTGGCAGATCTGTGTGCTGAACTCTGCCTGCTTGTGAAGGGGCCTGGGAATGGGGACCCAGGGCCAGCCTGGCAGAGGAAGGTGGCGATCGGCCGAGCATACAGGCACCAGGAGCCATCAGCACAGAGCTGCAGCGTCACAGCCTTCCTGGGGGCCAGCCCTGGCTCTCCACTTCCCATCTCCGGGGACTTTGGCCACTGCTGCCACCTCCTATGACCAACACAACAGACTGTGCTCTGGCCACCTGACAGCCCCATGTCCTGCTCTGGGGTCCTGCTGCTGCCAGTGCGGAGGGAGATGCAGCAGGTTCCGGCAGGGTGGCACAATGACTGTCTTAGATGCGTGGGAGTGAGTGGTGTCAGGAAGGCTCTTCCTCTTCCTCCTGCCTTCCCTGCACACGGCACTGTGGTGTGACATTGCCACACACAGTCCTGAGAGCCTGAGTGAGCTGCTGTGCTAGCTCTGGGTGGCAGTTGGCTGGGTAATGTGGCTGTATTGTGGCCTCACCTTTGGGCAGATTCACCCACATCACCAGGCTCATAACAGGGCCGAGTCACCCACTTCCTGTTCCTCTACCATCCTCTCACTTAGGAAGTAGCTGACCAGTCACGGGACACATGGAGGACCCCCTGTCTCCATGCCTGGCACAAGTGGTATCCACAGCCTGTGCTCCAGGCACCTGTGGCTGTCTGTGTCTGGAGATCCAGCTCCGTGAGTCCCCCCTTATGGGGTCAGGTGGGGCAGCGCTCCCAGCTCGTCCTCCCCTCCTCTCCCAGCTCTTCTCTGGGGCTCCTTCTGCTCTCCATTGTATGTTCATCCAGTCAGTCATTCCCCAAACCCTTAAGAGGCTCTGCTACCTGCCAGGCGCCACGCTGAACACAAGGTTCAGCTTCTCCCACCTGAGGCCCTAGCTGGAAATCTTAGAGGTCCCCAGCTCCTTGAACCTGGGGGGTCCCACCTGGGCCCTCCGATCTGCTCTCCAACCCACCTCCACTCACCCAGCCGCTCCCCATCCCACCCCCAACTTCCACTCCCTCTCTCCACCTGCCTCAGGCTTCTCCTTACTCCACGCAACCACTGCCTGCCCAGCAGAGCCACTCAAGCCCACCCTGCTGGCTGCTATGGACCCATCTTTAGTCTGATTGCCCTAAGCCCCGAGGTTTCCCCACTCCTCACTGCTCACCCCACCTACACCCACCATCCAGCAAATGGCACTCACCTCCAGCCTCTTGTTCCCACACCCTCCCCTTGGCTAGGCTTCGCTGTCTGCCCAGCTCGCCCATCCCTCCAGTTTCTGCCTGGCCACCGCTCATCTGCTCTCCAGGTCCCCCTCAGAGGCAGCCTCCCCAAAGAACACAGGTGGAACATAAACCCACACATGCACAGAGCCAGAGGAATGCCCCCTCCTGAGCGGCACAGACAGCCCTGCACGCTGAGCTCCCACTCTGCCCTCTCTGGTGGTTGTTTCCGGTCGGTTGTCCTCCGCTGCCTGATCCTGGCAGCCCCAGACAGCTGCTGCTCACTCATATCCTAGTGTCAACCGCCAACCTGTGCTGTGTCCTAGGGATTCAAAGGGAAATTAGGCCCCCGCCCTCCAGGGGTAGGTTAGTGGTGGCATTGGACCCACAATGTGCACAGCAACGATGACATCAATGTGGAGAGAAAGGGACACTCAGGGCCAGCTTCCCAGGGCTTCATACACTTTGTCTCTTTAACAGTCCCCACAAACCTAGGAAGCAGGAAGATCACCCCCATTTTACAGATGAATAAACTGAGGTTAAGTGGCTTACCAAGGGGTAAAAAAAGCAGTTAAGGCATAGAGCATCAATTCAGATCTAGCTCTGTGTGGCTACAAGTTTGTTCCAGGTTCTTCCAACCCAGACAGGTCCTTGAATTTTAAACAGTGTATTACAGCTAGATTTATAGCCAAGTATCTCCCGTCATGGGAATCACACAGGAGCTGCGATCAGGGCTTGTGGGTCTAACAAAATCACTTCCTAAGTGACTTCTGCAAGGCTCTTTCCCTCTCAAAGCCTGGGATTTCTCATCTGTGAAGTTGAGGGAGACAGATCGGGTGGCTCTTTTCCTGATTGCCACCTGTGGCTGTCTTTGAGCACGTCTCACCCTTCTCTATTCTATCACCTGAGTTTATTTTTAGTACAGCACTTCTCACCCGCTAAGAACAATTACTGATCGATGTACCTGCCTTTCTCCTCTTACTACAATTTAAGATGCTGGGAGCAGGGACCTTATTCATCATCAAATATCCAGCCCTCCGAACACCCAAACATGCTGGGCGTGGGAAATATCTGTTAATTAACAGTGGGTTACAAATGGTTACACAGTACACACAGGCATAAAGGAAAAAAATAGCATTTTATTTCATGCAACTGTCCAGAGTCCCTGCCTCATTGGGTGTGAGGGTGGAGGGGAATAAAAACCCTGAATTTGCAAATTGGTGGCATTGCAGCCTCTTCTGGTATGACTTTGTCTTTCAGGTGACTCTATGTCTTGTGGATAGACCCTTAGTCTTTAAGGCGTCTTCCTGGGCCTGCTCCCTGTAAGAAGCACCTGCGGGTGCCCATGAGCAGACGTCTGTAGTCTGGGGCAGGGAAGCTGGGCTCAGTCCACACGGCATCTTCTGGGTTCTCACTGGTCTCTGCGGCAGAGGGGTTGGCCTGGGCTGCTTCCTGGACAGGTGACTGTGGGGCTGTGCCTGGGCCTTTCTAGGTGAAGGGTGACCGGCTGCCCGCACCACTCCAGCTACAAGAGTCCAGGCTGCCACCTCTGCATATGTTTCTGTAGTCTCAGTTCCTGGTCACCCATGGGGACTTCTGAGCTCTGTGCACTCACCTGGTTCCGGGAGGGCTGTGGATGCTTCTCTTTGAGGTTTATGTGCCACCATCTTCCAGGACGGGTTCCCTGGGGCTTTTTCAACTGGGCATCTCTACAACATCCTTATCCCTAAGAGAGAAGGTGAAGACATGGCCGCTTGGGCTCCCAGCAGCCCCCGACTTTGTCTCCCTTTCTCTTTTGCTGACAATCCTCTGCGATCCTAAAGAGATGATCTGTCTGCTTCCTGATCTTGTCTTCCAGAACATTCCCTGCATCCTAACCTCCCCCCACCCCACGAAATCCATGGAACTAGACAGGGGCACATGGTTTCTTAGAGAAGAATAAAGAACATATCCATTTATTATTTTCAAAATATTACCTCCATTCCAAGCCCAATCATGCGCTTATACTGTGTGAAGTCCAAGTGCTGACAGACTGCGCCATATGGAGGAGGATTTCCCGGTTGCTCATTCAAACACAGAAACGTGGGGGAGCCGTGAGTCACCATACGAAGCCAGCAGCGTGGGAGCACCACGCTCAGAAGAATGGGAGCCAAATGCCCATTGCAAGCTGTGATTTCATTTCAGCAAAACACCAGCTGTCACATGGCATTACAATTTGAAGAATAAATGGCTGTGTGACTGCAAGGCGTTTAACAGAGCCAGGCACGCGTGGAGTACGGTGTGCCTCATCAAAGCTAGCTCCCATTCTTGTTTGGGATTCCCACTCTGTGCCAGGTGTGTGACAGACATCATTTTCTTCACTCTTTACAGGAGAGAAGAATTATCATTTCCATTTT